TTATCCCTTCTCCCTGGTCATCTTTATAGGCTCCGTCAGACTCTATCCTTCTCTTTTCTCATTGTAAGAGCCCAGTGAATTTATCTTTCCTGTTTCAACAGCCACTTGTATACCGGTTTTTCTCAGTTTTATAGGTCTGGACAAGCATTTCCTCCTGGTGTGCAGGACCCACAATTGAAAGCATCTAGAATTCTCCGCTTGATGCTTTGTAGATGTTTTAAAGTGAAATAATTTCCTCGCTTGTTTTCTCACCCTATCCGGCAGTAAATATCCTCTACCTACTTACTCAGCCCCGAAGGCATAGAATCATTGATTCTTCACTATGCACTAACTTCCACAATCTCTCAATTATCAAGCCCTGTAAATTCTATCTTCTCAACTTCCTGCACAACTGCTTTCTGTGGGCATCATAGCCACTGTCCTGTTTCAGACAACTGACATATTTCACCTGAAATACAGTAGAGCTTTCAAGAAGTGTCCTGTCCTACAGTCTTGGCTTCCCCATCAGTTAGCTACACTGTTGCCAGGTGAGATTTTAAAAGTATGAAATGGCTACTTACCTGCATGAGATACAAGATCCCTAAGATGTGATACTTATAAAAGGTTTTTCATAATTGTAAACTTCCTGCTGTCTTCTGGCCTTCTTTTCTGGTCCCTCCCTAGCTAAATATGTACCCCAACTCAAACTATATGAAATGTTTCCATTTGTTTCTATCCATCACATGTTCTTTCTAATTTGATTTAATTTTGTATGTATATGTATGTGTGTGATGTATGTGTGCAGATGTACTGGCTGAGTCTCTGTCACTCTTTGCTTTACTCTCTTGAGACAGGATCACTCATTAAACCTGGGGTTAGGTTGGTGGTCAGCAAAACCCAGAGTTCTGCTGTTTCCCTGCCACAGGGGTTACAGGTGTACATGGCTATGCCTAGTTTTTCAGATGGGTGCTGGGAATCTGAATTCAGGGTCTCATGTTTATGTCCCAAGCACTCTTATTTGCAGAACCATCTCTACAGCTCTTCACCAGTGCTTTCTTATAGCTGTTATTTGAACCTGCATGCCTGTTGTGCCTTCTCCCTCCATATTATCACTCATTCTCCATTCATCATGAATGTCAGCTCTCTCAGAGCACCTTCCCCAAATTTCCAAATTCATAATTAGGTGTCTCTACGTGCTCCTTAGTAGCACAGCAGCCCATGCTGATCATTACTGCCCACAGCAGCCCATGCTGATCATTACTGCCCGCCCCCACCCAATTCCTCTGCTACTCCTGGACAGTGAGGCCTCTAACACTCACCCGCTCATCCTTTAGATTTTGAGTAAGTCAAGTCAAAGGAGCCTCTGAGTAATAGATCACATCCACACTGAGACGTTATAAACCTTAACTCTGTTACCTGACTGAAGAGCATCTTGGCCTACACTTGAAGCATCTATGAAGTACACAACAAATGTTTCAATTTTCTTTTAAAATTGTAGTTTCTAATAGTTGCTATAAGGTTAACCACATAGGATCCCTAACAGTTTGTGGACTTTTTCCATAAAATTGTATATATATATATATGTATATATAATATATGTATATGAGGTGTGTGTATTTTTTTTTGGTCTTTTTGAGACAGGGTCTCCCTGTAGCTCCAGGTTGGCCTAGAACCATATGTATATGAGTGTGTATACATGCACATACATATATTTTGTTTTGAATAAAATTCTCTGTTATATTCTCTGCTTGCAATTATGTTTATTATGAGCAAGATAGTTATGAATAAGTTAATTGTTAATAAAAATCATTCTTAATCTATAGAAATTAATCTTTATGATAAAGCCTCAGAAAATCAGGAGACTGGAGAGATGATTCAGTTAAGAACACTGGATGCTCTTGTAGGGGACCTGAGTTCAGTTCCCAGCACCCACAGCTAACGACCATCTGTAACTCCAGTTCCAGGGGATCCGACACCCTCTTCTGAGCTCTGCTGGCATTACATGCATTCGTGCACTTACATGCAGTCAAAACATTAATACACATAACATAAAAATAGACAGTTTTTGAAAAGGATCCTGTATAATTAATGTATTGGAAAACAGAAATTTTGAAAAAATTGCATTTTTTATTCAAGTTGGAAGAAACTGGAAGATATCTTCAAATATATTTTTTAGAAAATGTAATTAAAACTTCAAAAGCTAAGGAATGATTATCTTAGCCTCATTGTTGGCAATGTCTATTGGCACAATGGTTTAGAAGACTTTGAGTGAGGTGTGTGTGTGTAACCAATATCTATTTCTTGTGTGTGTATGACACCAATCTTCTCTATTGATTGAGTGAATGTGTGTGTGTGTGTGTGTCTGTGTGTGTGTGTGTGTGTGTGACCAATTTCTTCTACTCTCCATCTGCACCATATGCGGATGAGGAGACCTAATAACACTAGTCAAGTCTGCATAGTACAGGATTGTAAAATACAGAACCAAGTTTAAATATATTTCCACAAATGGAGTCTCATGCTTCAGTAGAATAAAAGCCTCTACATTTATAGAGAGGAAAGGGTTTGATGAGATAAGAGACTAAAACTGAGGTACAGAGTGGAAAAGGAAAATATATTTTAACAGCAGGGAATGACTTGACATGACAAGAAACAAAGAGGAATAACGTGTAAAACGCAGGTGGGAGGGCTAGAAGTCAAAATTAATGACAAAAGATAAAGTCTGTCACAAAAAAGTGGAAAAATATAGAGCAAAAAGTTCTCTCAAGTATAATTTTAAGTTTGCTACACATGATTGTTGTATTTTAAAAACATCAGAATAGTATTTTTATGTTGCATTTAAGTTTTTTTTAAATTTAGAATTAGGAATTTATTTGGCAACAGTTATATGGCACAGAAAAACCAGCAGATCATGATGTAGTTGTGCCCAAATGTTTTGACTGAACACCTGGCCTTAATAGCTGTGTGTGACACTTTGAGCTGGGTGGGCTTTTTGTTTACTCTTTTTTTGTTTTTTTTTTGAAGCAGGGTCTCCCTGTGGCCCCAGCTGTCCTAGAACTCACTATGTAGACCAGGCTGGCCTTGAACTCACAGAGATCCGCCTGCCTCTGCCTCCCAAGTGCTGGGACTACAGATGTGCGACACCACGCCCGGCTTGCTTACTCTTTTTAAAAACATAATTGTTCTATCCTGTGTTGTTGTCTGATAGCTTGGAACACAAATAAATGAAACTGCCAGAAAAGCACAAAATAAGATTCATGGCTCTTTTTAAAATAAAATATCCCCCTCTAACCCAAAAACCTCTAGATTCTGGTACTAAATACATATCTCATTTTTTCCTTAGCATCTCATTATATATTTTGAAGTCACTGTGCCAAAAAAGAAAAATATGTTACAGGGAGAAGAAGAGACTTAAAAAACGTACAGATAACCACTCAATGAGTCAGAATAGGTAAGCACCGCAAGCAAAGTGCTCAGGGGAATTAAAGCTGAAGGGAGGATGGCAACATGCTCTTCTGGAATACTCAGGAAGTCTAAAGAAGCATATGCCATGCACGACGATCTACACCAAGCAATTGGGATTTGAAAATACATGGAAAGGGTTCGGCCTTGCCCTTTCTATTGTTTGATACTAATGCCTTTTCACCTGATGTAACAACCCATTTGTTGATTTCTTTCTTCTATATTTTAGCTTTATGAATTATTCACTAAATGATTTTTAGTGAGTTCATCTAGATGAATTAATTGCTATTTTCTTCATAGGCACATTTAAAAACTGTCACCTTCCCTCATACTCATTCTCTGGTTGTTTCCAATTGTCCCTTTCCCTTTAAACAGGCTGCACAGGAGTGCAGGACGGCACGTTCATTTCATGTGTTCCTTGACTCCACACGAGGTAAGTTACTGCACAGGTTGATTAAAGGCTCTCGTGTTGCACCATTTCCATTATGAGCTTGTTTCTCCAAGCAAACTGGGATTCCTAATGTAAGGGCAGGAGCGGTGTGGTAGAGTTTCTCTCTTTCCTGGTGAAGGTCTGAGGTGTCTGCACCTTGATGTATCCATTCCTGAAGGAAAAGCCAGTGTGTGCAGACAGAACTAGAGCTTGGGGTTCAGATGAACACAGGGTGCTGCCGAAGAGCAAGCTCGAGGATCCTGGGCTCCCTTCCTCCTCGGACCTCGTGAACTACTCACAGAAACATACCTGTAACCTACAGTTAAGGTCTGCGACCCGGAAGCCCACAAGCTGCTTCTGGCACCTTCAGAGCCACTGCTACACACCAGGGTGCAAGGCTCACTCGTTCCAAGATGCTCTCTGAGTCTTCATCTAAATGTTCCTCTTCAGAGGAGGCCTACAGGGGCCATGCAATTTTCCTAGGACCAGGGAAACACCTCCCTTTTCTTAGAATGTCGTGGGGGAAAAGAGGGACTTTCCTGGGACTGAGAGCCGGGATTCCCTGTCCAGGACGTGCCTTTCTCATTCCACCCAGCAGAGGTGAAGGCAACCACCACAAGGGAGCTGGTGGCACCTTGGAACACCCCTCTTCCCAGATAACGTCCGGAGCCCCGGAATCCACTAATGAGCTCGCCCCCATTGGTTGTCCCCAAGGCACCCTAATGCCGTCACTGTGTTATGCTAATGAGGGGGAGGCTCATTGGCTGGGCCTCCAGCAATAGCTCGAAGGACCGGTGCGGGGAGAGGCGGGTTGGCCGCGCCTGGGGCCGAAGCCCACCGCCTTTCATTCCACCCTTGGCTGAGCAGTGCCCGGTGCACCTCCGCCCATCCGAGGAGGCTGCGGCTGGGGGATGCCCGTGTGGGAAGCTCTGGTCTCTGCCTTTCAGGAAAGTGCCTGGCCATCACGCGGCTCTCACGCCCACCACCTGCCCTCTTTTTAGGCACCTCGCGATTTTTTCCTTTTTTTTGTCGACGAAGTAACTTTTGCATTCCCGCCTCCCCCCTGGTCCCAGGGACCAGAGGCGGTGCTGAGCCTGGGGGCGGTTCCTTGGCAGCGCCGGTTCTAGTCGGAGCCAGACTTTTGCTCCTGGGCTCCGTTTGCATCATCCCCATCACACCCTCCGGGAAAAGGAGCCAGCCCCCTTTCCAGCCTCGGCTTCCGGCCGAGCGACCCCTCCCCCTCCGGGTCCCCCAGCCCTTCTCCCACCTCCCCACACCCCAAGACTACCCGTCCACAGCCGCGTTCGTTCCCTCTCTCTGCTCTCCTCTGTCCCTTGCTGGATGCTGCCCGCTTTTTAAGGATGGTAGATTTGGAAAGCGAAGTGCCCCCTCTGCCTCCCAGGTACAGATTCCGGGATTTGCTCCTAGGGGACCAAGGATGGCAAAACGACGACAGGTGAGTGGCGTGGTGCAGTGTTCCTTGAATACTGCTGCACAGGAACAGAGGCTCAGGGGGCTGAAGAGGGGATGGAAGGGGAGGAAGGAAAGACAGCCAGAGAGGGAGACTGTGCCACTGAGGGAGTAAAATCTTTACCTCTCTCCATTTTGACTCTGTAGAGCAGTTGCTGTGGACAAGGAACTCTTTTCTTTACCACTTTCTTAATTCTTGCAACGCATTTATTGCATATTTCGAGATTTTTTTGTCTGTCTGTGCTTTCCTTGGTTAAGTATTAGGAAAACAATTACATACACACGGCACACAGTGTCAGTGAGAATCGCTTCTCATCCTTTTCCTTTGGTGTAGCTAATCCTTCTCATAAATGCATCCAAGTTGATTGAAAAATCACACCAGAAACTTAAAATCTTCTGCACCTGGTACCTACTCTTCATCAGTGTCTTCTGTTTGCCACTAGGTAGTTCCTGCTGTTTAAATATTTGGAGTTTCAGGTAGGCAGGTGGTTTAAATATGTAACAGGTAGTTAGTGAAAACGGGAGCCACCAGAATAGAAAATTCACTGAACAAGTGAGTGTCAATAATAAGGTTTGTGTAGCATGGTACAATCTTTCCATAGTTAGTATATATTATGCTCTTTGTAACCTAAATAATGTATGTCTCAAAATAAAAACTTAAGTTTCAAAGCTGGAATATTTATTGCTAATAAAACATTGCTCACGTGTTTTATGAATGACATTACTGCTTTGTGTAGGCAAACTTCCAAGATTGTCTTGACTGTTTCAAAAGCCCATGTTGTTTTCCTTTGAGTCTTGTTTTTTTCTAGAATGATCATTTAATGTATCGCATGCCACATTTTCTTGTTTTTAAGTAATATATGTATAACTAAGCTCTCTGATCAGTTGAAATGAGTCCCTGAAGTTCAGGTGGGCATCAATGTTCTACTTGAATTAGATGGAAGATCCATTACTGGTTCAATCTGAAGATCTCTCTGCACTCACCACCACCTGGCAGCATGCCTTCTGCTTCCCTTCCCCTTCTTAGTGCTAACTCCTATATGCTGGGGACTTGTCTTGGACTTCCATTGGACCAAAGATGGTCATCATCCTTGATCTCTCATTAATAACGGATAATGGAATGGATGGATATGTAGAGGTACTATTCCCACTGAATCTCTCTTCTTGGGAAAAAACATACATGTTGTTTAGGAACCTAAAGGACAAATACCGGAGTTATTGGCCAGTATACTTATAAAAGAAGGTATTCTTGTTAAGTGAAGATACTTAAAATGCATATGTGAGTTTATATTGTTAACAGACATTGTAAGATAAACTGTCTTGACCTAGTGAAATGACTGGTTGAATTCAATGTAGACTTCTAGTGGTTGAATTTACCTTTCTTTCAGGACCTCAGGATCATGAGATCTAGACTAGAATAGAAACCTGCATTATAGGAAGTACAGGGTAGGTTGAATATGTAGAGCATACTTTGGACACAGTGGTGGTAGAATTATCTTTTTTCAACTATATTCAAAATGTTAATTATTCATGTGATTAACCTGTTTTCTAAAGATGGTGCAGACATATTTTAATAATGAGGAATTTGGGTTAGTTGATGACTATCAAAATGAGTCAGTGCTACATTAAAAAAGTTTTGCATGTTCATTTAAAATTTGAAAAATTTTTTAAATTAGGTTTTAAAAAATTATTTAATTTTATTTTAGATGTATGAGTGTTTTGCCTGCATGTATGTAAATGAAGAGGCCAGAAGAGGTGTTGGATCCCCTGGAACAGGAGTTACAGGTGGTTATTAGCCACCATGTGGGTGCCCTGCAAGAACAGCCAGTGCTGAGTCATCTATCTAGCCCCATTGAAAATCTTTTGCCAGCACAGCACAACTTTAACTTAAAAATCAAGTCACATTTCCCATTTCAATAAAGTACTTAACATTGTTCAACCATATTTAGATGTTCAACCATTTTAGAAGATTTAACTAATCTTGTAACTTTGTAAAAGTTAATATCTAGTTTGGGTTCGTAGTTGTCATTAATCTTTGAAGACAAGATTCTTAGAAGCAGAGAGACCAGATTTTAGTTTTTTGCTTGTTCCTTTCCTAGGTGAATGCCTTGGGCAAGTCATTTTACTATTATGAGCTTCAGTAATCTTATTTTAATAATGAGCATATGTTATTCATAAATATCTACCTCATAAAATTGTGACAAGAAAGATGTGGTGGCTTAGCACTAATAGCACTAAGAGTGTCAAGAGCATTAACTGGGCATATGCCACCTCATTCAGCCCTTGTACTGTCCCTGAACACCAGACAATTACTTTAGTGACAAATAAACCAAGATTCTGGAAGATTGCACACTTGGTAATATCTCTTACCAGAATAAAATAACTCAAGATAACTCAGGTGCAGTTGTTTATGACTCTAATTCCTCCAAAATCTCTTGAAACAAAAGGAAATTCTTGAGCTTTTCCCAATTTGGTCCATTTGGATTTATAAATATAATTTTATGGCACTTAGCATCATTTAAATTTTCATTAAATGTTGGTTCCCTTTAGTTCCAGTTCATAGTTATGGTTGTTCCTCTCTCCCTTCCTCCTTCCTACTTCCTCCTTCCTCTTTCCTCCTCCTCCACTTCCTCATCCTCCTCCTCCCCCTCCTCCTCCTCCTCACCCCCTAATATACTCTAAGTAAACCATGCCATTTGTCTTTAATGAGTGCATACATTCCACTTTTCAACTAAGTCTGAGTAGCAGACTTACTATACTCAGCCATCTTTGTGGGCTCAATTCCTATAGAGTTGAGGAAGAAACAGCTTTTTATATAGGAGTATATAGACTGTCTCAAGCAACAGATACATCAATGGCTCTGTTCATGTTGTTTAGGCTCCTTTCTATGAATAACTTTTTCATGCCCCACTAGTAAGTAACTCCAGGAGCACAGTAAGCTTGGGTGGTGAAGAGGTGCCTGGAGTGCCACTGAGCAAAAAAGGAGTTACTTTTTAAGTACATTAGCACCTTTCTCCTTGGTTGGGATACTTTAAAGCATGTTTACCTTATTGTGTCCAAGAGGACAAAGTTTGCATTGCCCACAGAGGTGACTGGCTTAATATTGCAAACTTTATTGGCTTCTCAGTCCTGCTGAGCGCTGTTGTCTGTGATTGATTTCCAAATAAACCTCTTATGCTCCAACCCTATTTCCAGGTTGGTTTCTGAGTAAATCTAAATCATGATGGCCATCTTCTTTATTTAGAATGACATCCTAGAAATGATGGCAGACTTGATGGTAGATGCTTTCTACTTTGTTCCTCACTTTTAAGAATTTTAAACTAAATCTTAGTAGGACACGAAGAGGGCCTGTTAAAGAATAAAGTATTGATTTGATGATCTTATTAGGATACAGAAAGTAGTCCACATTTGTGGCTTGAAACTCACTATGCATTCCAGGATGACCTCAAACTCATGGCATTCCTCCTGCTTCACCATCCCAAGTGGTAGAACTACAGGCATGAGTCATCATACCTGGCTTGACAAAGTGTGTATTCTGTATCAGATTTTCTGTGACATAACCTTGAATGGATGGGTCACCTAAATTTATACTATGTAATCTCTTTGTAGGTAATCTTGAGGCTACCACTTCCAACACATGTATGTGTAATATATGCAATGTATATGTAGTAGATATGATTGCGTATATATTACAAGTGTGTATATATACATATGACTAGTTATCTCAGTGTCATCCTTATATAATCTCTTCTCCTTCATTTATATATAATATCCTTTCTGAGTAGAAGGTGAGTCTGCCCTAGTAGTACTGAGAAATGTGGATGGCATTAGTTCTGTGTGTGCATGAAATCAGTTTGAGAGCTGCCAGATGATGAGAAAGTTACTTTTGCCTTGGGAATGTTCGTTGTATGTTTAACATGTATTTATTTATTTGACATCCTGTGTATAAAATAAAAATCTATTTCAAATGGTTTGTATAAATGCATTTGACATTAAACTCTCATTTCAGCTAATATTTGAAAGCTTTTTCTATCTCAGGGTCTCATTAAGATACAGCTAAGAAAAATGTATAGAGGGATATGAAATGTTACTTCAGTGTATGGATATAGTTGATATAGTTAAAGGTGAATTTATTCAAGAATATTATTGAACAGTTGCTTATATCATGAGTATGTTTTCAAAGAAAATCCACTTTAAAATGTAAAGAAAACCCTGCATAGTTGGTGGATATTCAGAGCATTGACTGAAAATAAAGAAGATGAATTGACTTTGTAAGAGATGGCTCAGGGTATTCAAGCCATTTGGAATATAGTGTTTAGAGTACCCAGTGACTTCACTCTGGCTGAAACTCTCGTATTAGAGACCAAGTAACTAGCTTCCTGTGGAAGTCTTTCTGTGATTCTTAGACTCATTGAATTGCTAAGAGCCATCTTTAATCTTTCTGTGATTTGTAAAACAATAAAGATTTGAGTATTCTCCTGCAGTTAGACACTGGTAAGACTAATTTAAAGATTTTCAGAAAGTTAATACTTGCTCTACTCTTTCATCATGACTTACTAATTTCAAAGTTTGGAACACAATGCACTTGATGTGGATATATTGTCACAATTCTAATTACTGCTAATGGACAATTCTCAGTTGTAGTCAGAAAGAGTAGGCCACTTATTTAATTAAGACCATTCTTGTTTTCAAAAGTCAGGTCTGTTATTTCAACTACAGTAATTTTAACTATATTCTTCCTGGCATTTAAAAGTAATGCAAGAAAATCCTCTGTGATTAAAACCATAAAAGGAAGTGAACAAAGAGTACAAGTCAATAAGAGAACAGTTTAAGAGATATCTACAAAGTTGGCAAACTATTTGAATAGATTATGGAGTATGAAACTTTATTATACTACAAAATGCACTACTGTATATAATAAAATTAAATAAGAGGAATGGATTTTATATTACCGTATAGAACATTTTGTCACCAACTTATCTTCCA